GCCGACGTTCCAAGAAGTCCGAGTTCCCACATACCAGCGAATTCTTGTCCACTGCCCACCCAGTGTGAGATCAAGTCATAGGCGCCGGTCGTGTAATCCACGCCCACAACGTTAATATTAGACCTTCGTTACTTAAAAACAGGTGAAGTATCATTACCTTTCCCTCCCAACGCCCACCACCATGCAGCTCAAGACGTTGTACCTCCCGCTCCTGGCATTTTTGTTTGCCCTCTCTTTCGTGGACCTACCTCCCGTCGCCGCTCTCTTCTTGCCGGCGCGTCTGGGAGGCCTCAGCCACACAGTCGTCGAATTTTTCCAGCAACATGCTTTCCCTAAAAGCCCGTTATTCCGCACTAGCGAGGTTGATCTGGAACTGGAACATTTCTGGCAGCGTGCACGCGAGCTGGGCGAGACCGCGCGGCAATACGGTGAAAAGCTCATAGAGGAAACGGCGGAGCGCTCGAAGGACGTGCGTGAGAAGATCGGAGAGCTGAAGGAGCGCATGGACGAGATTGTGCATGGCGCGAAGGCACTGCGTGATGAGTTCCAGGCATCGGTCAAGCGGCGCACGCAGCGGTCCAGCGACGGGAGCGAAAATAACGACTTCTCCAAGATATGGCGGGGGATCTAGAACGCGCTTTCGAGAAGGTCCTGGATGAGCTGAAGGTTATGTTCCCGGCGCCTGATCAAGCGCCGGGGCACGAGGAGCGGCAGAAGGTCGTTATGGTCGCGCTCGAGAAGGCGGGTGGAGCGCTTATAACAGTCTGTGTCAAGCACGGGATGGACGAGAAGCGCGTAGGCGGGCTCTGGGGACTGTGCAGCCGGCAATTGAGAAGATGGTCGTCTTGCTCGGTATGTGCTGTGGTATTAAGGCAGAATGGTCTAACATTGCTATGAAGGCGACCTTGTCGAACAGCACCCCCTCCTACTCGAAACCATTCTCATCACATTTTCGGTGATGCTCATACCCGAATATTGGGTACTTCGTCCGCTCTTGAGCCTTTTCGGATTTGGGCCGACAGGGCCAGTAAAAGGTGCGACGGCGGTCAGTAGAAAACTTGGACGATCCCTGTTAACTTATTTCGCAGGAACGATTGCACCGTGGGCGCAGCGCGTGTTCTACGGTGCAGCCGTGAGCAAGGGAAGCTGGTTCGCATACTTGGATAAGGTTGCAATGACATTGAAAAAGCCGGGTTTCTGGGGTTGGGTAGGAGGGCTTTTGGGGGCTGGGGCCGCGGCGGGTGGAGGTATCTTTGGAAGTTGTGGTGGTCGCAAATGACGATGAGCACCTTTGCATGTATATATTCCACCGTTGTCAAGTCCTAGTTTCGGTCTAGTGTCCAAGTTGTGTATCCTCTTTCTTGTGTAATGCGATTTATGTCCCATTTTGAATCGGATGCAGGAGACCAGAAACAGAAATGGCAACTGGGACTCGGAATTTTATTCACCAAAAAGTTCGGGTTTCAAGGTTGGGGAGTCGAAAGGCCAGTTTCTCGGTCCTGGAGGATGTGACCTGCTTCAGAGATACTCGCCGAGAAACCTTACAGAAAGCATGCTCAGGCGCACCACCCCGCGCCCCTCCGACGCAGCCTTCTCGCACTTACAGCACCAGGGCAGAAAGCTCAGGTGTCATTTGGGGAGCATGGAGAGAGCGAGAAAATCGCGAGCAGATTTGATAGAATCCGGGCCGGACCGGCACTATCGGCTACCGATCGATCACCTCCAAGTTTGGTTTGCCTCTGCTCACCGACGTGGACCTTTCTACGGTCCCCCCTGCATTCCTCCTACGTCTCTCCAGAGGCAGAGGATTCAATAACTCAGAGGATAGCTCGTCTTTTACCCGGAGACGTCCTCAGAATCTCCAGGTTGTTTGGTACGATTCTTTGCGGCTCAAACGCTCCAAAAATCCTTAAACAAGCTTAGATTGACCTGGAGGCATTTTTGCTCTGATTTATTGGGGTCACCGTGGAAGGGGGACTCGCTTAACCGTTTGGAGGGGTCTTCAAGGCTTATTGGCGACTTTCACGTTAAAGTTTCTTTCATTTCGCACCAGGTCGTCTGGTACGATTCTTTATGGCTCAAACACTCCAAATCCTGAAACCAGTTCAGGTTGAACTAGAGGCATTTTTTGCTCTAGGTGGGACTGTTTGAGAAGGTTATCATTCAGGCTCACTGTCGCCGACTCTCACGTTAAAGTTTTCCGCTGCGCATTCCGACATTCAGTCCAGTACAATCGGCGTGGCAAAGTCTCTCCGTCACCCTAGAACAGTCGCATAAAGCGAGGCTCTCCAGAAATCAGCCAGTCAATAACATAACATACTGCCGACATTCCGCGATTTCTTTTACGTTTAAAATGAGTTCCCCTCCCAGGGAAGATGTGGTCCTATCCAGCTCACCCATCTCAATTCGCGGTGGTTCCCCGGTCCGTCGCAGGTCAAGCCTCAGCCGCAGCGAAAGCGACTTCTCTCGTTCTCTTCACTCACCGACGCTTACCCGCTCAATTGACCCCAACGACCCCCAGGTCAGAGAGCGCCAGCGCACAATGGACGTCGACATGGCCATGCAACTCTCCCTTGCCCGCAGAGAGACCATACCTCCACTCGCCGAACAGTCCGACAGTGTCTTCCCCACGCTTTCAACTCACGAACAACATGAAATCGACATTGCACGCGGAGAACCAGAGGAAGAACGAACAGAAAACGTGGACCCAACGCCGGCATTCCTGGAAATGAATCATATCTCCGCTCACGACCCGACATTGCTTGCACACGAGTCTCATCTCCACGCTGTGCCGCCGTCCTCGACGTTCAGGGGCGGCCTCCCCACGTACCAGCCCAATGCTTCCCACTCAGAGTTTGATTTCACGCCCATGGATGAATTCGCGACGGCCGAAAAGACTTTGCTTAATCTTGCTTCTCCGAAATTCTCGCTAAGCGCCCTACGCGCGCGGACGGTCGCCCCTGACACTGACGATGTCGCAGAAGGCCCTTCGGACCCCGAGCAACGCCGCTCTTCCCCCCGGCGCAAGCTCAGCCACAGCAGTCCCCGCCCGCGGCATCACCGAAAAGGCGGCGGCGGCAAGATGGCGATGTTTGAGGGGAACACCGGCGATCTCCCGCCTTCATTTACCATCGACGCTGGCGCGCAGACAACCACCGGCATCCCCGGGATCCTGCACACCGGACACGACCGGCCGTACCGCTTCTCGTTTTATTCGAACGCGCTCTCTGCGACGATACACGCGCGCAGTCTGAGTGAATTGCCGGCAGACGGCCAGTCGTTTATGGACCTCTTTTCGGGTGTGCTCCGCCACGCGAGCCGAGTGCGGCGCGGGACCGGCCAACGCGACCGGGGCCCACACCGCTTGCGGGGGACAATATGCACGGCAGTCGAACAACAAGCCGATGGGCGAGCACCCACGGCACAGCGCAAGCGACAGCGAGTCGAGTACCTGGTGGTTGGACGTGCAGAGTCCCCAGACGACGAGATGAAGATGCTGAGCAAGGTCAGGCACGCCCGCCGCCGCCCTCATTCATCTTTGTTGACGTGCCGTAGGTGTTCGGCATCCACCCGCTCACGACGGAGGACATCCAGATGGAGGAGACGCGCGAGAAGATCGAGCTCTTCCGCAACTACTACTTGTGTTTCCGCTCGTTCGACCAGGACCCGTACAGCCCGACGCACCTCGAGCCGCTCAACATGTACATAATCGTCTTCCGTGAGGGCACGCTGAGCTTCCACTTTCGGCCCACGCCGCACCCCAGAACGTTCGCCGCCGCATCAAGCAGCTCAAGGACTACATCAGCGTCACGTCCGACTGGATTTCGTACGCGCTCATCGACGACATTACCGACGCGTTTGGGCCACTGATACAGGGGATCGAGTACGAGGTCGATAGTATTGACGAGTTGGTGCTTATCCTCAAGGAGGCGGAGCAAAGCGACATGCTGCGCCGCATCGGGACGTGCCGCAAGAAGGTGATGGGCCTCCTACGGCTCATGGGGAACAAGGCGGACGTCGTCAAGGGCCTGGCGAAGCGGTGCAACGAACATTGGCGCGTTGCACCCACGTCGGACATTGTGAGTTGCCTGTCTGAGTTCTGACCCGCCCGTGGTTTTGACGCTCGCACTCGCAGGGCTTGTATCTTTCCGACATACAGGACCATCTCATCACGATGACGCAGAATCTGAACCACTACGAGAAGATCCTCTCGCGTCGCACTCGAACTACCTTGCGCAGATCTCGATCGAGATGACCGACGCGAACAACCAGATCAACGACGTGCTCTCCAAGCTCACTGCACTCGGGACGGTCCTCATTCCATGAATCTTGTCACCGGTGAGCTGCTGCCCTTCCTTTCTTTCTTGCGTCCTCTGCGCGAAGGCTGACTGGCTTTGCAAAGGTCTGTGGGGCATGAATGTACACGTACCTGGGCAAGACATCCCAGTGAGTATATTTGTCTCTCTTCATCTACCAGCGGCTTACCACCTCAAAAGGGGTACGCATGGTTCTCTTCCATTATTGCAGTCTTGTGGCGTTCGCGATTATTGGCGGATACTCTACTTATAAATTCATGGTTCATAGACGATAGGATAGACTCTGGACAGTATTATCCATCATAGCATAACATTCTAGTATAATGTAATGACCTCTGGTCTAGGGATCTCAATCTCCTGCTGCTGTTCTGGTCTTCAACTTAATTCCGTTTGCTTGCAATATACTATGCAAGAATGTAATAAGTATAGAGGTTCTAAGATCTCGAAAAAAACAAAGTTTTCTGGAACCAAAGTTTTTTTCTGGTTTGATTTTTGCAACATCGGAACGTCATACGTTGCTCTTATATTCATCGATATTCATCTTCCAAGACTTTACCCTTTCATGTTATTGATGGTGAGGTTTAGTCACTTTTCTTGATTGCAAAGTTCTGGATGGGCCTTTTCCATAAGTGGTTGAGGTCTTGATATTGGAGCTATGGGTTCCAGATATTCCTCTACTTTTATGCCCCTGTTGTCTAATGGTTATGACGTCAGACTTCTACACATTTTCGTTTATCTGGAGGCTGCGGGTTCGAATCCCGCCAGGGGTTTTGTCCCCATTTTTCACTTTTTTCTCATCATTTTGGATCCCCTCCTACTTTTTGCGTCTTTGTTTTCGACTGGTGACTATATGGAAGACACTATAATGGCATTGGTAATAAATGAAAATGTTGTGACTTCTGTCTCCGAGACAAGCATAATAGAGAGTTTGCGGTGGAGCCACCAGATCAACTGGTGGCTCGTGTTCCAGGTTAGTGTCAGGATCGTCCGTTGCATGCTAGCCACTATTTCATCCTCTCTATGGGGGCTATAAATGGTGGCTACATTAGCCTCCAAGGACAGGGAGTTCCTGAGAAAAATTAGCCACCAGTTGATCTGGTGGCTCCACCGCAAACTCTCTAATAAACCATTTTTTTGTTCGGATTCTTCGTCAGCCATTCGGAAAGGAACAGGGCCAGATCTGACCACAAGTTGGATAAAACAATTTCGGAACATCGGATTCAGTAGTGCAGTGAAAAATACAACTGCGACCACCACAATGACTCCAGACGCCTCAAGAGCAATGACTGCATCACACCCGATTTTTGGAAAATAAAATAAAATCTATACGTGTGTAGTTCCGAGCGGAAAACAGAACAAAAACATGGGTCAACCTTTGGCATCCTCCCGTTGCTTCCTTGCCAGCTTTCGTTCAACTATACCCACATACTGAGCCATCCCCTTCTCCATCAGTTTCAGTTTCCCCCGCCCACACGATACGTCTTCCCAGGCGGTGGCATCATCATCCTCGTCCTCTTCACTCGAAGAATCCTCCGACGCGTCGTCGTCTGGTGCCGCATGCCGTAGTGATTCACCCTCAATCACAACGCGGCTGAACCAACTGCACAGACCGATCAGGTTCAGATTAAGGAGGAAGTGGAATAGGACTCACCGGTCGTGCGTGATTATGATTATCGCGCCAGTGAATGTCTTGAGAGCTTGCGCGAGGGCCTGATGGTAGGAAAGTCGACATGTGTAGTCACTTCGTCGAGCAGCAGCAGCGGAGGCGGTATGAACACTATGAGCGCGATAGCCAGCCGAACCTATTAAAATGAGCCCGCGATAGACGCGAAACAGGATTATTAGAAACCTACCTTTTGCCCGCCACTCAACTGCGCAAGGGGCGTATCACTTGCAATCTTGCCTTGGAGGCCAAACGATCCGAGGCACTTCCGCGCGTCCTGCTCGACGACGGTGTCACCCCTCGCCTCGAAGTATTCCATGAAATACGACAATGCGGTGACCGGTCTGTCCGCCGTCGACCGCGAGAGAGAGCCTGATAGCTCCTCTACGGAATGCTGACCTACAACATGATTAGCCCCACACTGCATAGTAGTCAGCCGAAGGGAATACTGACTGAAGTAGCCAATCTTGAGGAGAGGATGTCGGACGATGTTGCCTTTGGTAGGTTTAAGCGTGCCCATGATGAGCTTTCGCAATCGTCGATTTGCCCTGCCCGTTTGCGCCTACGAACGCACACCGACCGCCTTGATTGATGGTGAAAGTGATACCCTCTAGAACGGCTTCTTTGCTTTGGGGAACCGGTACTCCACCGCATCGAAGTGTCAAGTCCCCAAGAGTGCGTAGTTTTTCGGGACTCTCAATGTTGATTTGACCCTCGCTTCGTGACGGCCTTGTCGATGTCGATGCGGTTGGAATTGAAGTAGCCGGCCATATCGCGGTTGAGTTTGAACCGCGTCCTTTGGCGCTAGTTTCCGCTCCCCAACGCTCGTCCAGTCTGAAGATGAAGATTGAGTTGAGTGAAGGAAGGCGAACAACGGGACCAACTTTTTCTGGCGCGATTTTACCATGCGCTGTCTGCAGTGAATGATCAGGGGTCATCGTTCCAGACAGTGTAGTCGGCGTACCTGTTTTCATCCCCAGTTTTCTTGGCGCTGGCGATGCCCTGTTGGATCGACTTTTCGATCTACCGGGAGAGTTGAGACCAGCATCAAAGAAGCACACAACACACAACGCACATGTTCCGTTTCTTATCCAAAGCCTCTTGCGCGCCCGTAAGTTTTTTGGCTTTTTTGCGTTCATTGACCTCAAAGGCAGCGGGCGTGCCTTCGAAATACTCGAGTGTCTTGTTTCGCAATATGATGCTCTCTTCAACGACATTGTTCAGAAAATCCTGGTCATGCGAGATGAGCACAAGAGTGCGCGACTGGGAGCTAAGGAAGCCCTCGAGCCAGATATTGCTTCTAGATCCTATTGTAGATGCTTAACGGACGTATAAAGCAAACTGGGACAACGCACCAAGAAATTGGATGGTTCGTCGAGAAGCAGAACATCGCTATGAACGAGAAAGCGACGTAGCCAGCGAGCAGCGGACCTCCAGCCTCCGGAAAGAGAGGTATAAGGACCTTGCATCATTTCTTGAGTGAAGCCCAAGCCAGAGAGAATAGTAGCAGCGCGCGCTTCGGTAGACGAAGTTTCGAGCTTCAGGTGCAGAAATTAGGAGCAGAGAATGTAGATAGTTCAGAGCATACTAGTTCGAGCGTGACCTGGATATTTTGGAGCATCTCTAGAGCCTGGTTCATAATATCGGGTTCGATATCGCCCGTGTCAACCGCGTCGAGCCTCGAGGAATGTCAGTCATGACAGCGTTTAAGCCGACACATCCTCACAGCAGCTCGGCCTGTCTCACGTTCTCTTCGGCCTTGATTTCCTCCAATCGGGCGTCTTTACCACGCGCGCCGGACCTTCGACTCGCGACCTTCTTGGCCTCCAGCAACTCCCGGCGACGTGCATCGAGACGCAACTCATAAACGATACGTTGTGTCTGGCGGAGAGAGGTGGCCTCGGTGGCCTTGGTCAAGGCTGATGGACAATTTAGTGTAAATATATTTCCCGACACATGCATACCTACTTTCAAGTTCTTCCACCGCAGCCTGACGTTCCTTGTCGCCTTTGACTACGTGCTCCAGACATTTATAGACTCAACACCCGGAGTATCGGTCGCTCTTGCGCTGTCCTCGACCTGGGATAGCAGGAGAATTCGGATGGATGGACTCAAGCCAGGGATGAGCTTGTCCGCAATCGCTGTCAAGAGCGTAGATTTGCCGCTCCCGTTCCTGCCCACGAGTCCGTATCGAACTCCTTGCTTTAGACGCAAATGGCTTGAAGAAATGAGCTCCCGTTCTCCAATAGAAATGGTAACGGCCTTGAGATCGATCTCGAGGGTGGTGTCCAAGGTTTCGTATGGAACCGGGATTGCTGGGAAGTCGCAGTAATAGGGTTCAAGTTCTTGGAGGTTGCCTTTGCTTTGGGGGCCATGGTGGTAGGGAGAGCAAGAATAGTAAAGTGTCATACGGGACCGAGTGTTGTTGGGATAAAGCGACTTTTTGGCACAGCCACTGAGCCCCTATCCTATTCAAGTTCTACACCTGAGCTTTCTGCGCTGGTGCTGTATGAGAAGGTCACGTCGGAGGGCGAGGCAATGCGCCCTTCTTGTGATTCCTCGGCGAGTATATCTGTCCTCTGAAGCATGTCACATCCTCCAGGGCCGATGTCTGCAACCGGCGTCATCGCCAGCCTTATACCAGGCGAGCAGCGCGATGAGGACGCACAATACTACGCCAGGTACTTTGCGTACTCTCACCACTCGATGTCGTGCTGGCCAGACACGTCGGCGCTCGTCGACAAGCTCGCGGAGCTCAAGGAAGTGGCGCTCACTTAGCTCAACGCGACACTCAAGGACGCCATACTCGCAAACCTCAGCAAGGAGTCCATACCATCGTCCAAGCCGGCTGAACGTACGATATTGGCTTTCTCGGCTTGCAGATGTTGGTTTTGTTCCCTCAGAAAGTATGTTCCACCCCGCTGAACCTGCGCAGGCTGCTCAGGAACCTGTAGCTGATAACCCGCTACTCGTGCTCGACTATCCTATCCCTGCTGAGAAGCTGCCCGCGCAAGAGCAGCACGGCTACAAGAAGACGATGCCTTCCTTCGCCTTTCCGCAGCAAAGGTTCCAACCATCTGTAACATCTTCGTCAACGTCGAATTCACCAAAACCGACCCACCGACTGTCGTCCAACCCCCTCACCGGTGCGAGCGCTAACGTGGCCAAGTATCAACAGGGTATCATCAACGCGGACGACCTTTGACGTTCCAGCCAACGCGACTTTTTGTACCGACGCCGTCGTTCCATGGCAAAGGAGAAAACACGAAGCTCTTTTTCTCCATCCTCAACCAAGAACGCCTCGAGACCCTACTGTGGCAGCCTTCTTTGGGGCGGAGAGGTGGACGAGTTGGCACGCGTACTTCTACGTTGCTCATAAAGTTACAAGTAACAGTTCAAATGAATTGCAAACTAGAGAGCAATGTATTTAAGCGCAATTCGCAAAAGTTTTTGGGAACGCAAGATTCTGACATCAGAGCAAGAGAAAAAGAGTACTGGTTGAAGTCTACTTCAGTTTGATGGACGAGAAAAATTATTCGGTGTAAGGTACTCTAATACCCAGAAAATACTAGCATTATGCTTCAATACTATGCACCTGGTTTACCATCGGGCTTCCACTATCCCAACCGGACAATACACTCTTCTTCTCCTCGAGTCTTCGACCCGTCCAATCTTCCTCTCCCACTTTATCTGCCCAGTCATCCGTGTCCTCCCACGAGTCGCCCCACGCTTGAGACTCCTCTTTCGGGGGCGCAGGAGGGGGAGCAGGCGCAGGCGTGGCAACCACCGGCGCAGTCTTGGGCGTTGGTCCAGGCCGCGGAGAGTTGACCGCGGGCGGTTGTTATTACGGATGTGAATAGGGGATGGCGGGTTTCGGCGCTTCGGCTTGAGTTTCGTGGCCTCGCGAAGCACAGGCGCTTCGGGTGAGGAAGACGATGATGATGAGGCGATGCTCGGCGGGTAGGCGTGTATCTCTACGGGCTGGCCCGGGGTGCTGGACCCAGAGGATTTAGGCTCCATGGGGTCTGTAGCTTATCAGATGAATGTGAACGGGTGCTGGAGGGGGAGAGTGAGCGTGTGGTGAGATGCGGATGGCTCTCGATGTCA